AATCTTAATTAAATGAACAAAGTTGGGGGTTTTTTGCCTTTTTTTTTTAAACTAACCACTTCCTGAAATAGGTTATACATCATGTTGTTAAGCTAGGCGATTTTGCGATTGCTGCTGAATCGCATTTGATGAAGACAGGCAGTTTCCATACTGAAATTGGCTACTTAAGTATCACATGCACTATAAAAGCAAGTCATCGATGAGTTGCGTAGCGTCAGAAGACTGGTTCACTCTGTGTTCATCATGAAGATCATTAAGCTGTCTGTTCTTGTCATAAAGTGAATTGTATTGCAACTGTTGGCTGCAGATGTACACTGAATTACTTCTAAAATAGCTTTTATGTTATGTGACATTAAATAATAGTGTCAGTTAAAAAAATTGAATTAACCAAACTTCGGCATGGCCTGTGTTCTCACCTACTCACCAGTAATTGTTCAGAGTATTGCCACAACACTGACCTGCAGATTCATAAGCGTGTCACTTAATTCACAACTTGTATGCAAAAAAAAATAAAAAAACCAATAAATGTATTTGATTGCAGTCTTGTTACTGTACATATGTACAGACATTGCCCTCTTTGCTAGGCTGAGTCTTGTTTCTGAGCCTGTTTAGGATGAATTCAGTAGTCATCCGTGGGACTCTGGCACCTGTAAAGTGTCTGCCATGATTGCCTCAATGTGTGTGAATGTCTTCACACGCTGTCCAAGCTCAGCCATTTACTATCAAAAAGTGATGTGCTGGGGTTGAGGGCAGGTGTCTTGTGCCCTGTTTGCCTGGTTGGCAGAGCACCTGCTGACACATGGAGTGATGAGGCTCTAGGCCTTCTGACTGGGGATCTTCAGTGCACAGCTCCTCCTGTGCTAGCCACAGGCTCTCAAAACTAGGATGGAGCTGCTTTCCCACGCTTCTGATGCACCTCTGGTATATAAACAAGAATGGAAATTTTGTGTGGTTAGAGCATAAGCAAGAAGCAGCAGGATCTGTCACCTGGGGAGGTGGGTATTCCTCCAAGTGGGCAAAACTCAGTGCTCAGGTCCCTGCTGCATGGGCTGTTTGTACGTTTTGCATTTGGACTCACCAAGTGAAGTGTTTATAGACTAACGATTTCAGGGACGTTCACTTCCCAGACAAGTGCTTTAAAAATGTGTTTTTCTGCCGCTTCCTCTTGTTACTGTTGTCTTTTCTTTGTCAAGTCTTCTGTAAAAAGGAGTACCTTAGCAGGCTAAACATGGATAGAGGCCTTGATCTTCAAATCCCAGTTAGCGTAACAACTTCATCAAAGCTGCAAGCAGCTGCTTTAGTCACGGAGAGAGGCAGGATGGCAGACACCCATCTCTGCAGGTTGCATTGGGGACTGAGGACTGTTCTGTATTGGCAAATAGAAGGACCATCCTGCACAGTGTCCTGATTGCAGCCCCTCACTCCCCACCTTGGGGAGGGAGGCAAGCCCCTGCCTCAGGCTGCAGGTTCCTTCCCAAGGTATTGTAGATTTCACTGTAGCCAGCAGTACCTAAACTTCTTGGTAACTCTGGGATTGAATGTTTTTTGAAGTACTGCTTTCTCATGGTGTCTTCTGGGGCAGGATTCATTTGAGCATTTAAATGTCGTAAAGTTCACTCACTGCATCCTTTCCTGTAGTAGATGTTTACAAACCTTGCACTATTCATTGTTTCCTCAATCATCCTGATCTGTTATGTCATCAAATCTCTGTTTGAACTCCATCATTGTAATCCCTATCGGTACCCGTGGTTGTTGCAACTTGCTTTAGGTAATTTTATCAAAAAGTTGGATATATTAAAGCTTTTCTGTTCAGGAATGATATCCATCTGATTCAAGATTCATTGTTGTCTCCAGAACTGTTTTGTAGATAGTGCTGTCTTAGTCACAACCATTTATTTCTATGTACCTTGAGAGGAATTAAAAAAAAAAAGTGGAGATACTCTTCCCTGTTTGCTCTTTTAAGCCATTTTCTCCAACTGTCTCTGTCTCTCAAGTGCCATAGATGTCAGCTGGGATTATTTCTGTTTTTTCAACTGCTAGATACTTTGTTTTCTGTTGCTACAAACTCCTGGGTAAACAAAACTCTGTGTTGTCACTCATAACGGATATTACCGAAGTTTCACAACAGTTTTAGCTGTGGTGTGGTCTGTTTCTCAAAACTTCTTACAGGTGACCTTGGATGTGGCATGCGTGGTTTTAGGAAATGTATTGATGAGGTGGTCACTCTGGTTTCAATGATAAAATCATCTGAAGAACAGGCCGTCTTCAGGAGGAGTCCTGAGTTACAATGACAGTACCTGTTATAATCCGAAAATTGACGTGTTCTTCACTGTATGAGAGATCCTCCAGTGACTGTGAAAGTTGTTTCAGATCAAAGATTGTAGTTTCTGCTGTGAACAGGATTGTGCACCTCCACTGTGAAGCCAGTCTCACTTGGAGCACCTAGAACAGCAAGAACACTGCAAGTCTCATAGGTGCCAAGAAGTCACTCCTGCGTGCATTCAGATACATGCAGTTTTCTGATGTGCCAGTCTTTTTGATTCAAAACAAACTTAAGACCATAAGAGATCTGATGCAGTTCATGAAGGTCACCCCACTTTAAGGGTGAAACTTTCCACATCATATAGCAGAATATATCTGCCTCCATCTTCATGCCAGACTTTATCTCGGAGGTTCACAAACCTCTGCACAAAGCAGTTTGTACACATTCTGTGCAGTTACATTCTCAATTTATGAGTGAGAGTTTCTTTTCTGTTTCTTTTCAGACAGGTGGATAATTCAGACAGGCAGATAATTCTGGCCAATGTCTTTGGGAAAAAATCCTTTAAATTCTTCTGGTTTTGCATATTGATAGAGTCTGCTGTGTCTCTGTCAGGATGGGGACTTGTGCAGGCAGTATGGTAGCTCGGGATCATTGATCTCTGGAGAAATAAAAAATGATGAAAGGTGTTCTGGAGCTCAGAGCTGTGACAAATTCATTAGAGTATTTTAAAATTTGTCTTCATGGTCATCATATTCAGTGATGTCTGCTGCCAGCAGGCTTTATATGAATAAGCCAACTGGTAAGATTACTTCACCCTGCAGAAATGCAGAATACCGTTGAACTGACTTCAAATTCATCTAGCAGGCAAGCCAAATAGTCTTGCAAGTGGTAGATTCAATTATTCCGTTGATCCTCAGTCTTTAGGTAACTAGAGTTGGAAATAGGGTTGCCTTGAGATGGACCTGTTTACATCAGATGGCATCAAGAAATGGCAGATTTTTTTTGTTTCTCCCTTGACATTCATTGTCTTGTATCAGACACAATCCTTACCATAGAGAAAGGCGTAGACCTTCCTTCTGTTTGGTAAATACCGATCATGGTCAGGCAAGGTGATACTTCCCAGGCCTTGATGGCTCTGGTGTCAGGAGGTTATCTGTCAGCTGTCTCTCACTGAAGAGTTCAAGAAATATCTTCCCCTCCTGGATCTGTGACTGAGAAATCTGGAGCATTAGGGAGTTCTGGCATAGCTTCATTCCAAGCCCTAAAAGACTGGACTGCAATGTCATTGCTCATTTCTGTGGTGCTGTCCCTTGCCACTTCTTCAGGTTAGGAGATGTAGATAGGTAGCCAGACAAGAAGCTAAGCTTAAAATAGAACAAAAATATTTGTAAACAAAAATTTGTAATTTATTTTTTAAAAATTAACTATATTTGCTTTTGTTTGAAAGCAATCCTTTTGTCTAAACTACATGTAATGAGATTTCAAGAATCAACCCTGTGCAGTATCCACTGCAGGTGTTTGATCTGGAGTTAGAAATAAACCAGTCCTCTGTAGGGTTGTTCACTTTTACTGGTCTCTTGAGAACTCGTGTAAAGCAAACTCTGCCGTCATTAAAGGTGCAAGAATCATATGGTTGATTAATCTTCTCAAACACAGAACAGCAGACATTAAGTCTGCTTACTTTACTAATAATTCTTTTCAATGAAGGGCTTTTCAGATGCTTATAAATTAAATTACAGAACAGAATTCTGCATTTTTAATTTAATGAAATTAAACATACAGTACATATGCCCTGAACTGGAAATACATTCCATAGTGGATGGTTTTTATTTGAACATCTGTTCAGCGTAGCAATCATTACAGGGTTTCTTTCCTTTCTGCCATATAAGTAGTGCTGATTTGCACTGGAACGTACTTCAAATCGAAAACTATTAGAGGGAAAATCAAAATTCTTTTTGTATAAAGAATTGTATATCACTGTCATTATTTCCTGAAACTCAGAACTTGCAGTGAATTGTATCTGCTCCAATCCAGTCACTTGTGTTTTGGTGCAGCTTCTTAAGACTAACATGGGTGTTTTCTTAGCAGGGAGGGATGTGTGTGTTAATGCTCGGGGCAGTCAGTGGGAACAACATGGATGGGTGCAGTAGAGAAGGGATCTATGTGTAGTAAGTGTTGTTACCATCTTGTCTACTTAGATTAGGACCATGTCCTATGGATTTTATGCAGTTATTTGTGTACTAAGGTTTTTCTGGTGTTCATAAGGATGATGTTGGCATGGTATTAAAACATTGTATTCTGCACTGACAAAGTTCAGCAAGTGTCTGTAGGACTGTGTAAAAACTCAGACGAAAGGTTACTTCCTACTCTCTTGGCTGTAGAACCCGTTATCTCTGTAAGTAGGTTGTTATTGATAGAATTAATTGTGTTTATACAGCATTATTATTTCATTAGCATTCCAAACTTGCTTTTTAAAATTTTGTGTTCATCCAAAATATTGAAAACCAAAGACCCTGGAAGATCACGTACATAGGCAAGAACAAACAGTAAGCCACTATTAGTATTTTCATTTGTGATGATTCCAATAAGAATTTCCACCTTACTGGTCATTGTACAGATGCTAGACCATTTTGAACTACTCTATGAGCTTCCAGCTATTATTTGAAACCTATTTAAACATTGAGCAAAATCATACTGATACATGTTTTCTTTTTTTCCCCTCCTTGTTTACCAGGATGGTACGAAACAAAAGCGAGAACGGAAAAAGACTGTGTCATTTAGCAGTATGCCAACTGAGAAAAAGATCAGCAGTGCAAGTGACTGTATAAATGCGATGGTTGAAGGCTCTGAACTCAAAAAGATTCGATCCAACTGTAGGGTGTATCACCGATATTTTCTTTTAGATGCGGATATGCAGTCTCTACGCTGGGAACCTTCAAAAAAGGATTCTGAAAAAGCAAAGATTGATATCAAATCAATCAAGGAAGTAAGAACAGGAAAAAATACGGATATTTTTCGCAGCAATGGAATATATGACCAGATATCAGAAGACTGTGCATTTTCAATTATATATGGTGAAAACTATGAGTCACTAGATCTTGTTGCTAACTCAGCAGACATTGCAAATATTTGGGTTACTGGCTTAAGGTACCTGATTTCTTATGGAAAACATACTCTAGATATGATAGAAAGTACTCAGGATAATATGCGGACTTCATGGCTTTCACAAATGTTCAGTGAATCAGATGTAGATAATTTGGGACATATACCCCTGTGTAATGCTGTACAGTTTATAAAAGACTTAAATCCTGGTTTAAAAACTAATAAAATAGAACTAAAATTCAAGGAGTTACATAGATCCAAGGAAAAAACTGGTACTGAAGTAGCAAAAGAAGAGTTTATTGAAGTTTTTCATGAACTTTGTACCAGACCTGAAATCTATTTCCTGTTGGTTCAGTTTTCGAGCAATAAAGAATTCCTAGACACCAAGGACTTGATGATGTTTTTAGAAGCAGAACAGGGTATGGCACACGTCACGGAAGAAATAAGCCTTGAAATTATTCAGAAATATGAGCCAGCCAAAGAGGGCCAGGAAAAGGGTTGTCTCTCTATAGATGGGTTTACGAATTACCTTACTTCGCCGGACTGCCACATATTTGATCCAGAACATAAAAAAGTTTGTCAAGACATGAAACAACCTTTATCTCATTATTTTATAAATTCATCTCATAATACATACTTGATAGAGGATCAGTTTCGAGGGCCTTCTGACATCACAGGTTACATTCGCGCTCTCAAAATGGGTTGTCGAAGCGTTGAACTGGATGTGTGGGATGGTCCGGATAATGAGCCTGTGATTTACACGGGGCATACAATGACGTCGCAGATTGTCTTCCGTAGTGTCATTGATATTATTAACAAGTATGCTTTTTTTGCTTCGGAATACCCTCTTATTTTGTGTTTAGAAAATCATTGTTCTATTAAGCAGCAGAAAGTGATGGTACAACATATGAAGAAAATTTTGGGGGAAAAACTACATACACAGTCTCCAAACATTGAAGAGTCTTATCTTCCATCACCAGAATCACTTAAAGGGAAAATACTAATTAAAGCAAAGAAGCTTTCGTCTAATTGTTCCGGACTAGAGGGAGATGTTACAGATGAAGATGAAGGCGCAGAAATGTCACAGAGAGTGGGGAAGGAGGGGGTAGAACAGCAAAACTCGATGACGGGGAAACGATTTCAGCTCTGCAAAGAGCTCTCCGAGTTGGTTAGCATATGTAAGTCAGTTCAGTTCAAAGAGTTTCAAGTTTCATTTCAGCTCCAGAAGTACTGGGAAGTGTGCTCATTTAATGAAGTGCTTGCTAGCAAGTATGCGAATGAAAACCCAGGAGACTTTGTAAATTATAACAAACGTTTTCTTGCCAGAGTTTTCCCCAGTCCTATGAGGATTGACTCTAGTAATATGAATCCCCAGGACTTCTGGAAATGTGGTTGTCAGATAGTAGCAATGAACTTTCAAACGCCTGGCTTAATGATGGATCTTAACATTGGGTGGTTTCGACAAAATGGAAACTGTGGCTATGTCCTTCGTCCTGCCATTATGAGAGAAGAAGTTTCCTTCTTTAGCGCGAATACAAAAGACACTGTGCCTGGAGTTTCACCTCAGCTGCTTCATATTAAAATCATAAGTGGGCAAAACTTTCCAAAACCCAAAGGATCAGGTGCCAAAGGTGATGTTGTGGATCCTTATGTCTATGTTGAAATACACGGAATCCCTGCTGACTGTGCAGAGCAAAGGACGAAAACTATGCATCAGAATGGAGATAATCCAATTTTTGATGAAAGTTTTGAATTTCAAATAAATTTACCAGAACTAGCTATGGTGCGTTTTGTAGTACTGGATGATGATTACATTGGGGATGAGTTTATCGGGCAATACACTATTCCTTTTGAGTGTCTACAGACTGGTTATCGGCACGTTCCTCTGCAATCTTTAACTGGTGAAATGTTAGCACATGCTTCCTTGTTTGTGCATGTGGCCATTACTAATCGGAGGGGTGGTGGGAAACCTCATAAGCGGGGTCTCTCTGTGAGGAAGGGCAAGAAATCAAGGGAATATGCTTCTATGAGAACATTATGGATTAAAACAGTAGATGAAGTGTTCAAGAATGCTCTCCTACCTATTCGGGATGCTACGGATTTGAGAGAAAATATGCAGGTAAAGTTTTTATGATTAATTTATCAGTTCTTTTGTGTCTCTTTGTATTATGGTGCATATGGAACATGTTTTTGACAGTCTTACTGCATTTTGTAAGTTGCATTAATCGAATCTAATGCTGAGGAGCTTTTAAAATGGACTGTGTCAGAGCAGCCTTTTAGGTGATACCGTATACTGAAGTAACCTTGGATGCATACATGTATTTTGTTGAATGTGTACTGAAAATATGACTCTAGTGTTAGAACTCAAGCCTGTTGATTAGTCCTATGTCTGTGAAGGAATATGATATACCTTCCAGAAAAGTATGACAATATTTCAGTTTTAGAAAATTAAAAATGCAGGAGGAAAACATAGCTGATAGGAAAAGGAGACTTTACTGTTTATTAAAAAAGTTCTTGTACATGTAAGTATGTTTAGCATAGGTTTTGTTTTTTCCCCATTCTCAACACAAGGCAGTACTTTCAGAATCGCCATTTGCTCTCCATGATCCTTCCTAGCAACAGTATGTTAGAAATACGTGGAATTAGCACTAAGGTATAAGAAGACATCCTCTAGAAAAAATGACCTTATCTTAAAGGTCATGTGTAGTAAACACATTGAATTTCAGGAAAAAGTACAGGCTGAGATGTTTATTTTTGTGGAAACCAAGAGATCTCTCTGCGAACGTTTTGGAGTGCATTTTTTTTTGAGATTCTAATGAAGATTCCAGGTAAAGAAACCCTTTTTGAACTAGATTAAAGTGAGCTGTAAAGTTGTGTTTTATTTAATACAGCTTTTAACTGTCTATAAACTGCTGATGGAATACTAACTGTGATCAATAAAATATAGCATAGTCATTTCAAACAAAGTGACCTATTCTCTTATGTAACATTAAGGAGAAACTGATTAAAGGAAATATCTGAGACTTGATTCTGGATTTTAAAGGCACACCGATGTAGATAAATTTTCTTCATGAATAATCTCATGTTGAAGAGATTTTATTAGTAATACAGTTTTAAAATTAATTTTTCTTCATATGAAAGAAGAAATTAATACAGCATTATGAAGCTCTCTCATTCCACTTGGTATATAAACTTGCTATACTAAAAGATTATTAAAAATTACGAGGATGATATTTTGATTCATAAAGGTTTCACATTGTGGGCTACATACAGAGAAAACTTTGCCTGATAGTTACCCTATTAAAGGCTAGAATTCTGTCATACAAAGGATATTGTATTTTAAGACACCCTTCAAGGAAAAGCTAAACCTGAGATTTGAGGAAATAGTGAAAGCATACAGTTTTTGTAGCTGCTTTAAACACTTTAGTGTGCATGCTGCAGTGTTTTACAGAACTGATAAAATTGAAAACAAGCTCTACCGGGTGGTTTCTTTGAACTTGAGATATTAAAGGTGTTTTATGTATTTTATTCTGTCAGGTTGAAAGTTGTGCTATCAACTAAATTCATCATCATCTCTCAAATTGCTACCAAGAAGATATTTTAGGTACATGAGGGAATATTAGTTTTGCATAACTTTACTGAAAAATTGTATCTTGTGCACAATTAAAACTCTGCGTAACTAAGGTTTTACAGCTAATAGTAAATAAACCACTTAAATATCAACTTATGTTAGGGAATGTGATATTTGTTTCATTTCATTGTTGCTGAAATTCTGCACTATAAATTGTTACAATTTTTCTGATACAGAAATAATGTCCCCACAAACCAGATTATAAAGTGCAAAGTTGGTGGGTTTTTTTAATATAAAATGGAAGAAGAGAGAATAAGAACTTGTTAAGCAGCAAGTTCGATGGTTTCTCTAAATCTGTATACAGTTAGCTAGCCTTTTTTCTTCCCTGTTACATATATATATATATATATATATATATAT